GTCTGTGACTCATATGAATAGTGCCTTTTGGATCTATTTGTTTTAAATCGGCTGAAACTTTGGAAATTCATAGTAAATCGTAGAAAAATTGTAAAATAGCAAAGGAGGACTTTTTGGAATTCTTATGAAATTCTCTATGCACTTGATCTATAATATGGCATATTTTAGTTTAAAGTTTTAGCTGTAAAAATAGATTTGTGCAGTAAGGTTGTAATGCTAGTTGAATTTGTTATTTTCCATAACTGTAGATCTAGGGCTCCAAATGAAGTGAAATTTTTGTGGCATGCTACTCATGTGATAGTTGATGTGTGGTGAAAATTTCATGAGTATTGGATAAAGTATGAGTGAGTTATTGGTTTATCTCGCTCTCACATGATTTCTTGTAATAGCAAATTGTCTTTTTCATAGAGGCAGCTATACTTATGCAAATGGTATGAAATTTGTACAGTATACTATTGAGAGGATATGTGAGCTACTGTAATTTTTGTAGAATTTATTGTGCATTTTTGGTATATGTTCATAAATACACCTTGATGTTTAAATAAATTAAGAAATGCTTTAAGAAATTTATTTAGAGGTGAGCACCATGCTTTCTGGTGTTCTTTAGTCATGTGTGAAATGTTGGTAAAGTTGGTTTTGCCCAATTTTGTGTTTGCAATATAAGTTAATAATTATTTTCTTGCCGATGTGGTTTATGGACAGATCTGGGAACCTAGCAAAGTTCTTTATGATAATGTGCTTTGTTGTGAAACTTGTTTATACAAAAGTTGTAGATAATTCATGTATCAAGCTTCTGTTAAAATTTGGTGGTATTTGGCCTTGTGGTTTGTGAGTTATGCCTGTTTAAAGTTGGGTTTCAGAAATGACTGCTTCTCTGTCAATTGTGGACCAGTTTCTGTAAATGGGTATATTTGACTTAGTTAACTTGAGAATCATGCTAAGATGATTAAATATTAATTGTAGAAAATTCCATAAGATTTCCAGAATGTCTTGTTTCATGGCTATTGGATTTGTATAACTCTAGTTATGATCCAAACATGAAGCTGTTGTTTCCAGTCCAGAAATAGACCTATGCTAGTTGTGGTTGTTTACTCCATGTGTTGCTAAGTGTGGCTTATGCCCTTGTTGATGGTCAAGTTATGATACTTGTGACCTTGTTAAACTTGTGTCATGCTTGATGTGCTTGCTCTCTATAGTTAGTTGTGTGATGTTAGTTAAATAGCTATGGGTGTCTATGTCTTGCATAATCTTATGTTTGTCTTGAATGTTTATGTGATGCATCTTGTATTACCATTCTTCATATTCATGCACTTGCATCTTGCATCTCATCTAGGTGCGCTAGATGAACCACATGAAGGACGTGATGTTGGAGCATAACTCGAAGATGGTGTATGGTGGACCTATCCCGAAGGTGGAAGGACTGGACAAGTGCTAGGAGGGGAGATGCTCACCAAGCGAGTGTCGTCTAACAAACACTAACCTAGTGTTGGATCCCAGGCAAGCCTCGGAGCATTATAAGCCTCCCTATTTTAATAATGTCACTTAAAGTTATTCGTATTGCTGCATTACGTGACATGAGTTGTTTGGAAACACTTGCTGCATATTACCTTCCTTGACCAGAAATATCTACCATGAATCCTATTTAAGTCCAGGAACGTTTATCATGCTTAGCTCTGCTTAGACCGATAGAAGTCGGGTGATTTCCTATCACCTGCGAGCTATAGGTGATAACTTGATCACGGTTGGCTATATTGTGCTATCGGGGAACATAACCTGGTAATGTGGAATAAATGGAGACCGGACGGGAAAAAGTTGGAGGCAACCAGACAGGGTTTTGGGGTGCTGTTAGTTTTCCGTCTGTGTCGATTAAGGACCGATCGTTGCTCGTCCCTCTTGTCATGTTGAACGCATGCCTCACATTTAGCTGGCCGAATAAAGTACCTTTCGACCGCGAAGCTAGTGACACTATTTCGAGCCGGGATAAACTCGGATTGGCCGACTGGTGCTGAAGAGGGTATGACGGGGACGCGAAGAGTGAGCCCAAGGTGCGTCCTAGCAGTCGGGCGGTCCCTGGGTAGTGCGGTCCATGACTGTTATCCCACAGCTACTTGGAAAGTGTCATTGGTGATCTAAGCGACCCTGACGGGGGAAGCGTGGTTTGTGTGAGGAATAAATCACCAGCTGGTTAGGAATCGATTCGAATCGCCATCGCTCCTGGATAGTGAGCACTTGACTCGAGCTACGACATCGTAGTAATTATTATAGAATAATGATGGTTATCTGGATGGTATGGGATATGCTAAATCTAAATTGGTAACTGGATGTTATTGGTTAATCAAGTGATTGCTATAGTACAGGTGCTTAATAAAGATGATGCAAAGTACTTAAAATGGTTTCTTCATGATAGCTTATGCTTTTCGCAAACGAGTCAGCTAGCCCACTAAAGAAAGCCTTGCATAATCCTTGGTGTCGCTTTATTTTGGTTTAAGACGGGTAAGTCTAGCTGAGTACATTTGAGTATTCAGGGTTTATTCCACCATGTTGCAGGTGAAGTTCTTGGCCTGCGGAAGATGGTGGCTAACCGCCGGTGGGCTCGGTGACTCTATATTTACTTCTCACCTATATGCTTTTATCTGAGGATATCACTTATGCTAGCAATGTATTTGGAACTTATATTAATGTAATCATTTGAAAGCTATGTTGTTTTCTCTAATCGGTTTTAAAACCCAAACTTGTACTATTATTTGTGAACCCAATTGTAATATTAATTCTGCTGCAACTTTGCGTATGTGATGTGTATTTGCTTAATCACGCGATCTTGGTTGTGATGTTGATTTACCGAGGTCCTTTGTGACACTCGGCGGACTACCGGGTTTATATAAGTGAAAGTATACGCGTGTCAACGTGTTAGCGGGGACAGCCATACTTGATCTTATATAAATTGGGCGGTTCTGTCACAAAGCTGGCCGCGGCACTCACCCACATCGCGGCGAACGCTACGATAGCGGCGAGGACCGGAGCCCGAGCCCGAGCCCGGACCTACCGGGACCTCAGACCTTCGGTTGACACATCCTCAACACCGCCTTCTCGCCGCGGTACCGACCGCCGACCAACATCTCGAAATACTCTGGGGAAATGAACCCTGGACTATGGCTCGAGGATTACCGGCTTGCTTGCCAAGCCGGTGGAGCGTATAATGATAGTTTCATTATTCGCAACCTTCCATTATTCCTGACCGATTCGGCGTGAACCTGGTTGGAGCATCTTCTGCCCAACAGGATTCAAGGTTGGACGGACCTAAAGGAGATTTTTGTGGAAAACTTTCAGGGTACTTATGCGCATCCTGGGAACCCGTGGGATCTCAAAAATTGCCAACAAAAGTCCTGGAAAACTCTTCGTGAGTACATCCGGTGCTTCTCTCGGCAGTCCAACGAGCTGCCAGACATCGCTGACGCCGATGTTATAGGAGCCTTCCTGTCCAAGACCACCTGTGAGTCCCTGGTTCACAAGCCGGGACGCAAGGGCCCACAAATCACCAAGGAGCTTCTCGACATCGCCACCCGCCACGCCTCGGGCGAGGAGACTGTCGGAGCGATTTTTAGCCGCCCCAAGGGCAAGGTGAAGCAGGACGAGGACGCCGGTGAAGGCACATCCAACCGCCCCAACAAGAAGAAGAACAAGCAGCAGCGCGAGGGCTTGCTCGTGGCCACTGCCGACCGCAAGGGGGGTCGGAAGCCTACCGAGGGTACCCCAGACCACTTCGAGAAGCTGCTCGAAGGGCCAGGCCCGAACCATGCCTTCCCCATCAAGCACCTGTACAAAGACTGCGTCCTCATGAAGCTGTTCCTGTCTGGTGGCTCCAACAAGGGGGAGCATAGGAAGGAGCCCAAGCCGGCGGTAGACGACGCCGAGGGGAAGGACAATGGCTTTCCAACATCGGATGGCTGCCTCATGATCTTCGGAGGGTCGACGGCCTACGACTCCAAGCGCCGCCAGAAGCTTGCATGCCACGAGGTTTATACGGCCGAGCCGGCCGCGCCTTCCTTCCTCCGATGGTCGGAGTCTGCCATCACCTTTGATCGGACCGACCACCCGGAAAGCGTCCCGTAGCTAGGAAGATATCCGCTTATGGTCAACCCGATCGTCGGCACGAAGCGGCTCACCAAGGTGCTGATGGATGGAGGCAATGGCCTCAACATCATGTACGCTGAGATGCTCGATGCCATGGGCATCCACCGGTCGCGCATCCGCCAACCGGGGTGCCTTTCCACGGCATCGTGAGTAGAAAGCAGGCCGCGCCGCTCGGGCAGATCGATCTGCCCGTCACCTTCGGGAATCCGACCAATTACAGGACAGAGACCATTACCTTCGAGGTGGTCGGATTCCACGGGACGTCCATGCTATGCGAAGTTCATGGCCGTCCCTAACTACACGTATCTAAAGTTGAAGATGTCTAGTCCATGCAGGGTCATCACTGTCGGCACCTCCTTCCAGCATGCCTATGAGTGCGAGGTCGAGTGCTGCGAACATCCCGCACCAAAATTTTAGTTGCATAATCTTGTTTCCAATACAAAACCAGCTGTGTTTTCAATTTATAACATAACCAATGCAGAAAAGTATCAAGTTGAGACTTCTAGCTAAGAGGGATTACAATGGAAACATTAGGTGCTTGGATTCATCTTCTTGCATGTGCGCAAAGTTATTTAGCTCAGTGGCCGGTGAGCAACCAAAGGCCGGATTAGATTTATTAGTAGAAGGTGGCACATACTTCATATATAATATGGTACTGAAACAAGATGAGGTTTTCACATAGGAAACAAATGAAAGATATTGCTTTTCATAAGAAAGTACATAATCGTATCCAACCGACATAAATTTTGAAGAATAGAACACAACTAAAGAATCAAAGAATCCTCAATACGTACATATATAATTAACAAAACTAAAGAATCAAAGAATCCTCAATGCGTACATAATTAACAAACTGATATGTATGTTCTCTAGAACTGAGCTTGGATGCGGTCAATAGTTTGCTTGTCGACTTGAAAAGCCTTGGCAAGGACATCGTCCGAGATGGATGGCTTGGACCCAAATACAGCGTTGGCCACAGTGATCACCCCAGGGTTTTGGCTACTCAATGCTGCAAGGGCCACGGTGCTCTTTGTTCCATAATTGAATTGGAAATGGATCAATCCCTCAGGGAACACGAACACATCCCCTTTGTTAAGAACCTTTGTGAACAGCTTGTTGTCCGGGTTTGATGTGACAAAGCCGACGTACAGGGAGCCCTCAAGCACAGTCAATATCTCAGTGGCCCGTGGATGTGTGTGAGGAGGTTAAGACCAAAGGGTGCATAATCGATGCGGGCAAGAGAGATCCCCAAGGTGTTGAGCCCAGCAATCTGAGCCACGTTCACCTGTGTCACAGCAGAGCCTTGCTTGTTGGTTGTGTTGCCGGCCATGTGAAGGCCCGGGAAGAAGAAATCTTCAGCAACAACATCCTTTGCGTCCTTGCATGGGAACCCATTCACACGCACTGCAACAATAATAAGTTAGAAAAATGTATATACATGGCGGTCTACATGATGATTAGCTAACTAGACAGAACTGATGACCTATGTAAATGTAAAAATAGTTATGTATGTATATACCTGTAGACATCTTATCGACAACACAGAAGTCTTGGAGAAGGCTTGGATCAGAGGCAATGGCATGAAAGCATGACAAAGACAAGAGCGCTGCAGCTAGGAGGAAGGCATGAGTCGCCATATCTGGGTTCTGCTCTTGTTAACAGGAATGAAAGCGAATGATTTGAGGCTCTGAGATGTGAGTAGTGTTGGTTGATGAGGTATCCAAGGATTATTGCTTTGGTGCTAGCTTGTGATAACAAAGCGTCAGGGGAGTTTGATATTTATTGGGAGGTAGCCAAGGCCGGATAACCTCTGTGTTGCATCCAGGGGAGGTTAGGCAAGAAAAAGTCTTCCTGGAATGCGTCATCCCGTGTTTCATTTGGGTTGCAGGTGCCGGCGGAACAGGTCGCTTTACGCGTCAACTATGGCTTAGGAATGTTGTGGCTATGTTTGACTATTTAATCCTTGTGTTTCTATCAGCCATTTGTCGATTGAATGATTTTCCTCGGAAGAGTTACTGGTGAAATCAAAATGTTACATATTTGTAGTTCTGCCGGTGTGTGATATAATACTGCAAAGCATGCAGTAACCATTGAATATAAAATTAAACTTTGTTCATATTATTGAGAATTTGTTTCTGGTGTCACGGAGGGTATATATGGGGGAAATGCTAATTTAGTAATCTGTTCGGCCACCGTACGCATAATTTACATTTAATTATAGCGCAAAAAAACAGTAATTTCATTCGCGTGCTATTGTGGTTAAACTTTGGATATTTTTTATATAAAGAAATGAAGGATGTTATTAATTCAAGATCACTACGAGTTGATACAGTAACTCAGAATCTACTTCTAGCCTCTGCAAAGAAAGAAAGAAAGAATGAAAGAATGAACCTGGCACCCTTCTGAGTTCTAATCATAAGGCTACATCGACGCCCTCGTCTTGGAGAAAAATACCCGGTTTAAATTTGAGCACCTGCACCAATTGATCTCAAATATCAGGATGTCTAAACTTTGGATATCAGCAAGTTTTCTCTCCCGTTCAGCAAAGGCCGTAGTTTATTAATTAGTTTGTTCAATCAGGTTGATATCTCCCAGAGAGAGAGAGAGAGAGAGAGAAGGATAATTAAGCACGCTTTGGACTTGTTCCGGCCTTCTGGGAATTAAGTTAGTGAAGACCGCTTCAACGATTTTCCATGTACAGAAACAGAGCCGTCGGACAGGAAGGCCACGGATATAGCATCAGCAGCTAGCGCACTGAACAGTGAAGCTTCCTAACACCTGATTGTTTGCCGGCCAAATGTTTCTGCAAAGCCCATACCCGGCCACCTAGCTAATCAGTCAGTCAGTCACGATTTCGTCTCATCCTTTCGGCCGTGTCCACCTCTTAACCGGCGAGCAGGGGCCATGTGCACATATTTTCCGCAGCGGCCGGCTAATTCTACATCATGCGGTGCCCACGCCAGTAGCTGTGTCCTGTCCGGTACCATATGTCCGCCGCCTCGCCGGCTGACTTCGCAATTTCGCATCGTCCAGACGTTTGTCCTGCACGCTGCTGTCCTGTTCAGTGCGCTAGCTGCTGTTTTGTCCGCATTTTTGTCTGCATTTTTTTCGTATGTATGCAGTTTTGTCCGCATTTTTTCCCGTGTCTATTTGTTTTTATGCTCCGTTATCCATCACTTCCCCCACTTTTTCGTCCCTGTTTGTTTGTTTTTTTATGTTTTTGTCTCTTTCTTGTCACCGTTTGCTTTTTGTCCTTTTTCCGTTTGTTTTTTTTTCTTTGCGGCCCCGTTTGATTTTTAATCGAGTTGTCTTGTTGTGTTTTCTTTATTATATCTCGTAAACATAAAAAAACAAATACGTAAATATTTGCCCACGGTCGTCTATCCCATCCGCACGCTGCCTTACTGGGCCAGCGCAGCGGATAGGCCCAACAGGCGTGCTCATCTCTAAATTTCTTCTACCTTCGAAATCTTTTTCTCACTCGCACTCGCATCGGTGTCGCGGCCTCACCGCGCATCCACCCGCCCCACTCCGCCCTGCCGTGCCCCCCTTCCCTCACCACGGCCCGTCCCCCGCCCCGTCGTGCCCTTCCTCCCACCGCGCCACACCCCATCACCGGCCGTGCCACGCCCCAATGCCCGCGAGCGGACTGCGCTGAACAACTGCGGCTGAGCAGCAATGGCGCTGTAATAGCAGCAGTGGGGCCACGACGATGGGCGCGAGCCTATGCCGCGAGCAGGCATTGGAGAATGGTAGGAGGAGCGATGGGCCACGCCGACGGGCACGAGCGCGCGGAGCGACGTCCCCTAACCCGACTTGCTGGCTACCGCAATTCCCCACCAGGTAGACCATGGTGGCGACGCCATATTTTAAGTGTTTTAGGCGTTTTAGGCTTATGTTTCAAGTGTTTCATCTTGATGTTGCAAAAGTATATCTGAGATGTTGCATATGTTGCAATGACAATATACACGTGTTGCAAGTGTATGTTTTCAAGTGTTTCAGGTGTTTCAGACGTATATTTCAAATGTTTCTTCTTAACGTTGCAAAAGTAGATCTAAATGTTGCATATACATGCATGTTGCGAGAGTATATTTTCAAGTGTTTCAGGTATTTCATATGTATGTTACAAGTGTTTTATATGGATGTTGCATATGTTTTACAATGGCTACACACGTGTTTTTCAAGTGTTTTAGACATATCTTGCAAGTGTTTCAGCGGTTTCAGACGTATGTTGCAAATGTTTCGTCTGGGTGCTACAAAAGTAGATCTAAGGTTGCACAAGTTGCAATAGAATCCACCTACTGCAACCGCATGCTATAGTTGTTGGGGCGCCATGCATGCGCGTGGGAAGAGAGGGGGATGGAGGCAGGGGCATGCATGCACCGGGCGCGAGAAGTCGAGGGAATGGGCGTGCAGCCCCACATGTATGAGGGCGCTGGAAGTAGACGGGGCGCAGGTGTCCGAACAGAGGCGCAGAGGTTCCCGCGTGTGCGCAACGCACGTGTCCAGACATAGACGTCCATCCGGACGTCCGGACACTAGCCACGTTTCTCTACTCTCTGTCTACTCTACTCTATCTATTTATCTATCTACCTGCCTATGCCCAATCTATATCTATACCTAATACTAGAGTACCAAAATTTATGCTACAATTTTCCTCATCCAACTCTAATCTCTATTAGGATTCTGATTTTTTGTCCAGTAATCCACTTTTTAAAATCCCGCGCAGTTTGGATCTAAATCTTTAATAATTTTCCTTTGCTTGGTCCGTGTCCGTGTGAGGTTCAGCAGGTAGAATTTTTTGGGGCTTCCATCCGATCTCTTTTTTGTTTTGGATTTTTTTTTTTGTTTCTAGTAGTCTCCGTTTATCCGCTCAAGTGATTTATCTATAAAAATAAAAACAAACAATAGATACAATATTATTCGCGCTTGAACCAATGACTTTTCTCTGAAAAATAAAGATTTTTACTGCCAAGTTGTAAACCTAATTTTGATTAGAAACGTGTTCTTGTTAAAACCTAGGGAGTGTTCGGCTGGCATTAAATGCCTACTATAGCAGCTGGAAAACACTGTTTATACTGGAATTTGGTGAGAAAAAAACGCTGCTCCGGCTGAAAAAAAAGGCGGCCGGCCAGCAAGCCGAACATGCCCCTAGATTATCCAATGGTTTATAACTAATTAAAACATGAACTGAAATCTTGAGCAACTTATTGTCTAATCCGCTCTAAATAAATGTATCTATGCAATCTCCGAGCACAGCTACCATGTGAAAAGTCATGAGAGGTAAATTTCCTTTCCTTGGTTTGTCTTTGTGAGGTTGAGCGGTTAGAATTTTTGCGGCTTCCATCCCATCTCTTTTTTGTCTTGGATAGTACTCCGACACAGACATGTCGTGAGGTCCGAGGACTTCGTATTAGACATGGACACATGAATCCGGTTTTTGTATTGGAATCGGGTAGGTCGCACACGTGCGAGTTTTGAGTGGAGGATGATTCGTATTGGACGTGGATAAGTAAGCAGGATCAAGATTTGGTGTCACTGGCTAGATGATGACTTTATAGTCTTTTTAAGTGTACATATATGTTGATGTTGGAGATGATCCAAATTACACATCAACAGGGCTAGCACGTCCAAGGATGTTGTGATCAACCTGCAACACAGCAAGAACGCAGCGTGGTTGACGAAACCAATGTTGAGTCCGGGTAGGCCGATGTTGAGCATGTTCTTGGCCGAAAAGGCTCCCGAACTTTTCCTGGGAAGACTCGTCGTAGAGGAGCACGTGGAGGATCTCCTAGAACCAGCAAGGGCGCCTAGGATGCCGAGAGACGTGCCGAACAATAGGAGGGGTTGAAAAAAGGAGTAAAGGGTATGGTGTAGTAGATGTGTTTTAGATCGATTGGATTAATGGAAACTCAATCGGTCGTGATCCTCTCATATATATATAGAGGGGTGGGGTCTTATCACAGTAGGAAACAAGTCCAATCGTAATCTCCAAGTTTCCCACATCCAAAAATACCAAAAAATGACTTTGGGAGGTTTCCTAGTCACTTTCCAGGAAGAGTCGGCATAGCCGACATAGGGAGTCGGCTAAGCCGACTTTCGCGGGACTGGTCAGCACCCGTGGGGCATTCGGCTAAGCCGACGGGGGTAGGAGGGGGGGGTTTTGAGCCGGCTAGGCCGACTAGCCCAGCTCGCCGTCTTCTCCACGCGATTTCTTTGATGTTTTGCTGCGCCGTTTGTCGGGGGTATAACCCTAGGTACCCACGACAAGGGACATGGGCCGCAACATCAGGGACGGTCTAGCTCACAACATCAAGACTTGCGGCGCACGGCACTGCTCGGCGTACACCGCAAGGTACTAGAAGATCTGATCGGATACTATAGATATTTTAATCTAAATTGAATACTTGCCATGTAACCAGCTAGGATACTTTCCTTGTAATCCTACCCCTCCAGAGTATATAAGGAGGGACAGGGGTCCCTTAGTCGGTATCCCGATACAAACCCTAGGTTTAGCTTAGGATCTCCAGATATCTCATCATAATATACAATCCACTAAAGACACAGGACATAGGGTGTTACGTTGAGTTGACGGCCTAAACCTGCCTAAATCGTTGTCTCTGCACCTGTGCCACCA